AAACACATTACATACTCAGGATGTTTTGCCGTAAAAGCTCCATAAAAAAATCAGTTTATACAACATCATTTGCAAATGTCCATGTACTCTGGAGGCTGATTAATGTGAGAAGAGCATAGCTGGAGGAAGGTGTGGGATGCAGAGGAGAAAGTGCTACTGCTTCAGTTTCTGAGCACTCCTGAGAACGTGGCATTAGTAAATTCTGCACTCATAAAACCAGATTCATGACCGTGAGGCACAAAAATAAAGATACACTTGCAGCTTATAACAAGACATGAATATAAATGCTATCCTCCACAACATGTACAACCTACATCAGGAAAAATAAAATGACCCTGATCCTATAGGTCCCTCTATGTCCATGTAAACTGCATTATGTGTATATTGACTCCTACTCCTTCTCACACTCCAGTCAATGTGGTGTTGTCTACTGGGCCTGGTTGTTCTCCCCTGGGACCCCCCCACTCCTCTTCTTCCCCCTCCTCCTGCTGCTGCTGCTCTACCCCTATCCCCGGTTTGATGTGTCCCACATTCCCTTCCCTGCAACACTAATTGTTTTTTGTAATTATTTTCACCCTTCTGCTATTGTGACAGGCAGCGGCTGCACTACTCTTAACAAATTAGTGTAAGACAGATGAAGCACAGATACGAGAAACACTCATGTCTTAGGCAGTGTGCGCTACATCTCATAACATGTGCAACTACACATGCAAACACTAATCTAAATGATATTAAAGCAGCAACTAATGAGAAAACTGTGAAAAAAGTGAATTTCCAGAAGCACAAGGCCTGTTTTTTGTCACCATCAGTCCAAAATAAATAAATAAATAAATACATACATAGAAATACAATAAAAATAAATTAATATACTACCACTGATGATTAAAATAGTTACTTAAAACAATAAATTAACAATATAGTTGCTGATCATTTTTGTCAATCAACTATTAGTAGGTTTAAACTCTGTACTACAAGTTCAAATAAATACAAAGTATGAAGAACACTTAATATATACTTGTATAACTTAGTTATATAACTAAAGCATGTTAGTTTGCATGTTGGCACCAGTAGCAGAGAAAGTAATGACACCCTTAAGTAAAAGTAATAATGGTAGTCTACTCTATTACAAAAAATCCTAAGCAAATGTGCACAGCATGGTATGATAACCGTCAATTTTCATACTGCGGTATATTGTTAAACCGGTATACCGCTGCAACCCTATGTAAACTGTCCACAGAGTTTAAGAGTACTGTCAAAGAACAACTCTTTGGTCCACTGAAGATAGCTAGAACCTGACTATGTCAGCACTGAAAACTTGTGTGCTGTTATATTCCAACTTCTTTTATTTGTGTTCCCTGCAGTAATGATGTGTAAATGTGCCATCATCTATGTAAGATCACAGTGGATAGTCTTCAATGTGCCTAAAATGTTGGTTTAGACCACAGCTAAAGATAGGGCCCTACTCTTGCTGAAACTACAAAGACAGCTTGTGGCTCATGTGACTTAAAAACTGGTTCATGCTCATTATTCTGTTTTAGGCTGTTTCACTTTCAGTAAAAACTTATGATGCTATACACTGTTGCAAGAGAATAGTTACCCTGCTCCGAAGGTAGTCTGCAAGGTTCTTTCGTGTGAAGTTTGCTGCTGCTGATGGACTGAGTTCATAACCTAAGAAGTTGGAGGAATAAAACACCATGAGACACAAAGTATGTTTCTATATAAGTTACATTTTAATTCACAATATGACATTGTTGTCAATGATTAAGACAGGAAAGCAAATCTCCAAAATCTTTGGTACCACCTAAAATGCCACAGTAGCACCAGAAAAAAATAATAAAAAAATAAATAAAATCAAACCCAAAAACTGGCATTGCTGGTCATTTTTGTTATTTAATTGAACTCTACAACTATAGATTTACATTATACTTTTGCAAACTGTAGACTGTATTTTATTCAGCCTCATGTCTTGCATGACTGCTTATTTTTATACATTTTGTGTTAAAAAGGGTTTTTGTCAAAAAAAGGCTTCTTTTGTTAGATTACAAAAGGGGTTTTGCAAAACAAACAAAAAATGTGTTCATATTCCTCAAGAAATCAAAACAAGTACTGTTTGAATGTTATCAAAGGTCAGGTGCCTTATGCTAACATTAATACAGATGCCAATGCATTGGCATCTGTATTAATGTTGGGAATAATTACAGAATTTGGAGAGAAACAGCAGAAGAAAAATAGTAGTACCACACAATCATTATCAGCATCATCTTTGGGACTCTTACCATTCCTCATTTTGTAGAGCTGAACATTCTTCTGGATGTACTCTGCAAACTGTACTGTGTCGCCTGCTTCTCCCACACACAGCAGCAAAATCTTCTCACTGAGTTTGAACATCTTGTCATAGTCTAGAAAACAACAAAGTAACACTTTATGTACGCTAGATAAGTGACCATTTGCTGACTACCAGACTGGGAAACGTTAATCAAGCAATGACTTTCACTTTCACTGTTGCAAGTCTGCTTTAACAGCTTATGCTAACTTTAGCTTTGTTAGAAGGAAAAATAACTATTTGTATATTTCAATGTAGTAGCTACATGATACAAGCCTTTTGTGTACCATTATAAATTGTAGAAGGAAAATAGTGTCCAAACAGTGCAAAATTGGACTAATTAGAAATGTATGTGCTACTCATTTAACAACGATTAGCTCTGTTGGCTCAAGTCACACTGAAAAGATGTGGTTGCGTTACAGTGTTGGGTAATAGGCAAAATTACACTAAATATACTGTGAGAAAAAACAAGCTGTAGCGTTTGACAGCAAAACGCCGTGTTTATTGTGAGAAATAGCTATGAAAACAGCCAGTGTGTGCTAATTTAGCATATGTTAATGCTACATCGACCGGATGAATGGCTAAGATAAAGCTAACGTGTTGTCATACCGTGTTTCATCTGAATAATGCTGCTGGCAGCAACATTATCGGCGGCGACAAGGACAAAATCCGGTCCCTGGATCCCGATCAAATATTCCATTCTGTATATTAGCTATAAGATGAAATATTTATAAAGCTTTTACAAATGACAACCGTCTATTAATCACGACTGTACAGATTACACAGCAAAAGTTTGAAATTGCTGGCGCAGACTGTCAACGTCACAGGAAACACGCTTTCGCACTTTCTACGCGACTCTGGCGGGTAATTTGAGCGGAAAGAGGTTGTTGTAATACTGTTCTGTCAATTTTATACAGTAAATCCGGGGATAACCTGTTATTTCATCAGGAAAGGGTCAGTGTGAATGCAGGGACGCCTTAGAGCATAATGGCAGAGCCGGATAATTTTAACGGGTCGCAGCGAAGACGGTCACCTAGGCTGAGTTCCCCTCTTCAGCCTGGCATCAAGACTGACAACAAATTGGCGCGGGATATCGTCTCTGTTAAACGCTCTATCACTGTGAGGAAAATAGCGCCCAGGAAAACAGTCATACCGCCGGAGAATAACAAGGAGAACGCGCCGATACGGTCGGAGTCCGAAGGCAGCCAGCAGAAAAAGCAGAACGTTTCCACACCAGATCCCGTACCAGGCCGTCGGGGCTCCACTTCGGCCAAGAAGAAAAGGGCCGCTATGCCCTCACCTATTCTCCCCTCCTCTCCGCTAGCTTCTTGCCCTCAAAAACCGGCGGAGGATCCAGTGGACGAAGTATGGTCGCAGAAAGTGCGCCGCTCCTACAGTCGGCTCAGTGACAAGTCATTGAACAGCCCCAACTGTCGTGAGACTTTATTCGGCTTTGAGAAGTTGAATACCCCCGAGGTGGTCCGGGTGGTCGCACGATCTAAGACCAGTCTGGAACTTTCCGGAACCTTGTCTGGTCTGAATTCATTCACGTCTTTGCTTGAGGCGGAGGACTTTGGTTCGGGTTTTCCCGAGCCGGATCCAAATATCCCCGGAGTGGCTGTGGTGAAGGAGAAAAGGAGGAGGAGGAAGGTGCAGCAGATAGACACCACACAGCTGGATGCAATGGCTGCAAAGATGAACGCAGAGTTTGCGGAAGCAGAGAAGTTTGAGCTGGTCGTAGAGTAACTTTTGAGACTGAAAGACTTGAACGAACGGAAGAAATCGCTGCCATGTTTTTTTTTTTTTGCTGGGGGAGAAACGGACACTGGGAGGAGCACACTAGAAATGGTTGTTTTATATGTTACTAAAAAGATTCGAGTTTTTGGAGATTTCCAGTTTATTTTTATTGTAAATTTTCTTTCCTTGCTGTTCTCTTGCGTGTTCAGTTGAATGCTCTTAATGTGGTTGTTAAACTCAGTATGTAGTGATATGAAGGTATGAGTGTGGATGATCATGCTCCCTGTTTTGGTTATCATTGAAACATTTATATAGGTTTTGTTTACTGTAATTTGGCATGCTAAAAGTCTGACTAGGGATGACAGATACATTTTCTAAGCTTCTTTTTAAACTGACTAAGTGGTTTGATTAATTTCCCATTTTTCTGACAAAGGGATCATTTGAACACATGGAGGTATATGTGACATTTAATTCATATTTGCAAATCTGTGTAAACTGGCGTTTGTAAACTCTGGTATGTAGAATCAAAGGGCTCTAAAGAATGGAGGCAGACTGAATTGACATTTGGTTTTCTTTGTCCATTATATTTTAATTGCTGAGAGATGTGGGCAGCACTTCAGGTGTCTTTGTCCAGGATACGTTTGTTTTACATCCACATTTGACACGTTTTTTGCCTGCCTGTAAATCAAAATCAATACTCAAGCAATTAAACTACAAAACTGCAAATAAACTAAGATCCTTCATTTCAAAGAGCACATTTTGTCACTGTTTTCAATAGCAATAGTTTTAGCCATGCTCAGTGGAGTCCAAACCAGCAAACTATCTGTTTAGTCTGGACTTAGCAACATTACTGTCTGAGTGGAGCCTAAGTTTCCTTAAAGCACACTCACTGTTTGTTGTAACATTTAAACAAAACCTTGAGTTTGCACTGTGGCATACCAATTGGGAGGAAAGGTCTTTAAAAACCTGCTCATACAGTCAGCAAGCAGTATTCTGAGCTATATGGTTAAACTGTTGATTGTGTACATGGGTTGACGGCACTCATTACTGATCATGTTAATCTGCACAGGGCTTAATAATAGCCAAGCATGTTTACTAACAATACATTCTTGTATGCAGCGGTGGTCTCCAGTGATTGCGTTGAGTGAGTGGGTGATCTGTCTGGACTTAATGAGCATGGTGGACAGGTAAAACATTTTCCTCCAGAGTCTCTTAAAGGTGTAAGTGGATGCGCTGCATAATTTACACTAACAAGGGGGATGTTATCAACCCTGACACCCGCCTCACTAACTGAGGCTTCTCTCTCAGACTGTCTGTATGTAGATTTGTCTTCAGATGATAAGTTAACACACTTGCAGCTGATATACAGATGGGTGACCAAAGCTAAACCTATACAAGTGACTAGAGAAACATGCAACCAGTACAAATTCTACGGGCACCAGAGGTCACTGAGTCATTTGAAGAATATTAGAATGACATGGATCCGCTTTGGGAGAGACTTTCAAAGTTGTTCTGAAGGTTTGTGGTGAACTAGGTTTTGACAGACCAGGGCCACAAGACAGGGCCCTTCATAGCTGACATTGTCTTTTAGTGATGCAGAGGTTTTGATTAATCAAATTACATAGACACAAGTGATTTGGAGAAAACCACCTGGATTTTTTTGGGCCCCTGGACAGATACCCATTTGTCTAGTTTGCTTGTGTATAATTGACTGTTAATAAAGACAACTGGTACAGCTATCACAGCAATAACAGGTGAACGTGTAATAGCCTTCATAAACCCTGAATGTCTTGATCTAAATTTAAAATGATCCACTTTGTTGCAGAAGATGCTGACAAGTGTATCTTCGCCTGTTATACCAACCTTGGAAAAAAACTCCTCAGAATAGGATGTGCAGTTAGATGTTTACCTCTGCTTAGAGCATGTAGGCATGCACATAATATTTGTGAGCGTGTATAAGAAAGAGACACGTAGAAAAATAATGAGTGTGTATTTGAGCGTGTTGCAGCGAGTGAGTAAATCCACAATTTGCTCACGTATTTTAGTGTGTGCAAAGCGTGCCCTATTTTCTTCCTCAGGTGCCATTTCATGTTCATACCCTTCATTAGGCATTTCAGCTCCCTAGGAGAGGCACCTCTTCTTTTTTGCAGAGCACAATACATGGTGGTTTGACTTTTGTATATTTTTAACAAGGTATTCATGTGTGCTTGTCACTACAATGAAAAGTTACAAACAGGGTGAAGTGGAGGGTGTTTCTGAGCTGTCACTGCTAGAAACAGTTAGTGGTTTACAATGCTGCTGCTTCCACTGCCTCTGCTTGCTTTTCCCTTTTGAGTCTGTTCATGCTGATTTTTAAGAGGTTGGATAGTTTACAGTCATATTCTGTGCTTTTCTTTTACCCCTCACTCCCTCTGCTTTTTCCTCTTTTCTCCCCCCTCCACATTTCACTCTCGGCAGTTGTCGCTGGTTCAGCTTGACTGCTTCGTTAGGGCTCATCATTTGCATTCAGATTAATTATCTAATTACCGACAAATGTCCGGCGGCCACCCCACACTCCGGCTCGTCAGCTCTCAGCCTGTAATTATTTTAATCATTTACTTTCATCTGGAGCGTTCCTGCCATACTCCTGTGTTTAGAGGCCATTCTTAATTACCCTGCCAAGACACTCTTTTCATGAGAGGGAGGGAGGGGAGGAGAGGGGTTGGTTTGAGGGAGAAGAGAGCAATTGGGTGAGTGAACGTGTGTGTGTGTGTGTGTGTGAAAGAAAGACCAATGGGGACATGATCCAGAGGCTCTGACAGCACAGAGGAAGCTCCCTGCTCCACTGGATGCTCTTTCCTCTCCTCTCTCCTCCACTTTTCTCTCTCTCTCTCTCTCTCTACGCTCACCAGCCTCCCACCTCTCCCAAACAACTTCCTCGTCTCTCTCTCACCCAACCAGCCCTCCTCCACACCCCGCTTCCTCCTTTATACTTCCTCCCTTTTTCCCTTTATCGCAAGCACACACAGGAATCGCCCGTGGGCTTCAGTGCTCTGACTGCTAATACACTGACACACACTTACACACACTGCACACACACATGCAACACGCACAGACACAGGCAGACAACAGAGTCATGCACCATGTTTGTGGCACTCATCAGGATGCACACATCTTTTCACTATCTGCCTGGAAAATCTATACTCCTCTCAGCTCGTCTGTTTCTGTCTCTTCCTCCGCCTCCCACCATCCCTCCATCCGTCAGACCCGCACGGCTGCACTTTATATGTTTGTCTGTTGCCTGTCTTTTTCTTTCCATCTCTGTTTCCTCTCCGTCTTTTCCCAGTGTTTGGACAGCCTCACATCAGGCCTGCTGCTCTCTGTCCTTGATGAGGGAAGATGGGTCATCTCTCTCTTTTTCTCTCTCCCCCCTGCTTTATAATGATGCTCTCATTCAACCCTTAAGCCACTCATCCCTCTCTCCCTGGCTGCTCTTGTTAAGAAAAAGCCAGAGTGAGAGAGAGAGATACAAGCTCTGTAATTGGGCTCTTGAATATTTAAGTCACCGGGGATGAAAGTTTAATGAAAAGATGATTATCTACCAGTTTATCACACCACTGTTTCATATTTCATTTTTACATTTTCGTTTTGAGCTGCATTGCTCGTTTTAGCAGCTGAGGATACAGAGTTTTTGATCCAGAGTGTGTTGGAAAATACTTATCAAAAAAGGTGGAAGGATGGAGGAGAAATGCAACAGGGCAATTTGGTCAATAAGAGTATCTTTTAGGATGCTTTGTCATATTATTTATTTTCATTATCATTAGCTGCTTTTGCTGAGAGACTATAAGTTGCTCTTATACATTGTCCCATGAAGCTAGAGTCCTGTTCCTATGGCTGCATTGTCCATTTTGGCAGCTGTAGATATGGAGTGTGTTGGGAAATACAGAGCAAAAAAGAGGGAAAGGGTCAAGAAGAGAAATGTTAAGGGCATAGTACAGAGAGGAGATACTTAAAGGAGAAATTCTGTGAACGCTAAGGGCCAAAAGTCTCCTATTTGTGTGTGATTTGGGTTGATTACTGTCATGAGCTAGTTTATCTCATCACTGTTTTTATTTCAATGTTATATTCCCATTACTAGTTGCATTCTGACAGCTGTGGATACAGGTATGATCCAGCACGTGTTTCAATGTACTGAGCAAAATGAGGGAAAGATGCAAAAACAAAACAAAAAAATGATGCAAACATAATACAGAGGAGACACTTCAAACAGATGCAGAATGGAAATTTAATCAGTACAAAGGGTTGTTTTATTTATATTTTTTATTTATGGTGCTTTGGTCAATTATACTTTGTTCATTTTAGCAGTGATAATCCAGTGTAAGTTGGCAGATACTTGGCAAAAAGATACATGTTAAGGCCAACACAGGGGAGACACATTAAGTACAGATGCAAAAGAAAAAATTCTGTCAACACTTAGAGCGCTTTTAATTTTTCAGTTGATTGTGATTTTGCTAAGACCACTCACACACATTGTTGCATATACCATTGTCATGATACTAACTTGTTGTTTGTCCACGTTGGTGTCTGTGAATACCGAGTTATACACCATTACTTGCTAGAAAATACTGAGCAAAAAGGAATAAAGATGTAGAGATGAGCAGACTCTTTAAAGTGAGACTTGTGCTAAACAGAAGTTACTGTGGCAATAAATGTCAATGAGATGCTAAATGCTAATATGTGCATACAGTGCATTTAGTTTAACAGTAGCACAAGTGGAGAAAAGCCATAAGATCACTAAATTAATTCAGCAATGTCAGCTACACATAAATGATCTGTCTGAAGTTATTCACTCTCATTAGCTGCCATAAGCCATAAGTTCCTCTTTCAAAAGTGACCTGGTCTGAATTTAAGGAGATGCAGAAGGGAAATTCTTTTATTGGACGCTCTTTGTGTTGTCAGTGGCCAGTCACTGTTTCCTGTACAGGTACCAGGTTCCTCCATGAACATGGCAGTAACCAGTGCCTTCTGTACCACTTCCAGATAATTGTGACCAAAGACCAAAAAAGTTTTTATTTATTTATTTTTTTGCATTTTTCACCTTTTAAATTATTTAGTTAATTATTAAGCTGTACTTGACGGAAATTTTATTTCCCAACACAAAGGAATACAGGATTAAAATTCAAGTACTTGAAGCACGCAAATGTAAACATAAAGAGTCTAAAACTACCAGAATCAACTTGTAGACCTGCACCTATTTCTATGTTTCTAATAGCACAGTGTAGCCCCTCCTATCAGGTCCCTAAACCCCCAAAATTCACCAAAAATAAAATAAAATGGATGAAAAAATACTGTTTACACAGCCTTTTGTTATCAATGATAGCTGCTGCCATGTTCATTAATTATTATCATGGGCACATGTGCATGCCATTGGTTACGTTTTTCATTTTTGTTCTATAAACCTGAAAATCTTGTGGCTTTTTACATTGCTAAAACATACAAACATCATTTGACATTACTGAAGAGATACATTTCAGTACCAGTACACTGGCTGAAAGCATTAGATGGTAAGTTAATACATACAGTAAAACACTGTGTTGATTGTGTGTCACCTCCATAAACACCCTAAAGACAATTCAGTACAAAGCACAAGGACACTCTTCCTTAGTTAATAGTGCAGGATATACAGGCGACTGTTTGTTATTCATTCTCATTATTCATAATGGTGAGGACATTAATCCCTTTTTGCTGGAAGATGGTGTGAAAAAGCATGGAGTGTTGTGCCACTCTGCCAAACCCCAGTGGAATAACAGGGTCTGCAGAGTTTCGACAGGG